TGATAATTTTCACCTTTCATTATCCTCTTTTATACTCCTCAGATAGCCCCACATCTTTCTTTAAAAATAAATTTTCAAGTCTGAATGTTATATATAGTCAGAGCTGCTGGGAAGGAACCCACGGGGAGGCACCCTAGTCAGGCTCAGCGTGAACTCTGCAGTGTGAAAAGTGGCTTTTACCGCCACGTGGGCGGGGTTTCAGGTTGACTGAAAGGGAAAGAGGGAACGGAGCCTGCATTGAACACTCTCTGCTTCTGACTGTGGAGCAGCCTCCTTAAGCTCTGGCCTCTGTGGCTTCCCGGATCAGAGGAACTGTAACTTTGAACTGAAAGCTGAAATAAACCCCATTTCCACAAAGTTCCTTTTGACATAGCATATTACCACAGCAAAAGGAAACAAACAGACAACCATGGTTCATCATGCTAAGTTTCTAGACCAGTGGTTCTCAACCTTCCTAATGCTGTGATCCTTTAACACAGTTCCTCATGTTGGGGCAGCCTCCCTCCCCCACCATAAAATTACTTTCATTGCTATTTCATAACTGTAATTTTGCTACTGTTATGAATTCCAATATAAGTATTTGTGTTTTCCGATGGTCTTAGGCAACCCCTGTGAAAGGGTCATTTGTTGCCCAAAGGGGTCGCGACCCACAGTTTGAGAACCTCTGATCTAGACAACAGCAGAACCTCTAGACTTTACTCAGACTTTAGCTGCTTTTAATTTGTTTCCATCTATTAAATTTCTCCAAAGATTGTGGACGGTGTCTCTGGAAAGTCCCCTTTTAACTTATTCCCTCTGTAACCCATTTTTGTGTGGTTTAGCCTCTCCTATCTCTGTCCTCTGTAGAATCTTCTGATATCTCCCCTCCTAGTTCCTCAGGGAATTTCTCTCTTTGCCTTGAGAGCTTTTGCTGGCCAGGACACTACTCACTGAGCAGTCCTGCCTTCTGCCCTTCCCCCACCCACAAACAGGCGCCATCTTCCAAGCTCCAATTCCCCTTGCTAGGCTCTCTCTTCTTTAGCTACTTCTCTTATTTCTATGATTTCAGTTGCAATCTATGCGATGACTCGTCCCGCATCCGTTTGTGGTTTGGAATTCTCTGCCCATATTTACACGAGTTTGTCGGCTCTTTACACTCTGTTACCCTTGGTATTCCTTCAAAATTCATTGTTTCCACACTGGCTCAGAGTCTGAGTCATCTTCCGCTATTCTCTGTCTGCACAGCTTGGGCTGGAAACCTTGTTTCCTCCTGCTATTTCTTCCTGACCTATTAGTAAATTAGTAAATTAGTAAATTAGTAAATTGTGCCACACCTATTGACTCTAGGGAAATAATATACAAGACATTTCTCCTTTATTAAAACCATTTACTTTCTGGTAGGGCGCACAACACATGTGTACATATGAGTAGGGACACCCAAGGACAAACTGAGGAGCTGCACCACAGGGGTAATCCTTCCTTTTATGGGGAAAGGGTCACTTGTGGTCTGTACCTCCATATATAGGCTAGGATGTCTGGCTAGAGCTGAAGGACCCACCTCCCCAGTGCTATGATTACAAACATGCAGATTTGCCATTTTTTTTTGTTGGTTTGCTTGGTTTTTGTTTTTTGACATGGGTCCTCATGCTTGCAAGGCAATCCCTTTACGGACTGATCAATTTCTCCTGCCTCCCCAACCCTGAACTTAACTTACACTTAACTTTCAGGTAGAGTTAGGAATGAGAAAAACTGAGGAAGGACTGATTAGTAGTAGGATTTTCCTTGCTATGACAGACTTGAGAGAATTAAAGAAGAAAAGAGTTGCCTTGGAGGCTTGTGGTTTCAAAGATTTCAGTACATCATGGGTGATAAGGTAGAACAGTTCACACTATGGCAGCTGAAAAGCGCGTGCGCGCGTACACACACGTACACACATACACACACACACACACACGGGGGGGGTGCGGAGGGATAGAGAGGATGAATGTAAGTAATATACCCATGTTGTAGTTTTCCTTTGTTCCTCTTTTACGCTAGCTGGTCTTCTAGCCTATGGGCGGATGCTGCCCACATTCAGCATGCATCTCTCCACTCACTTAATCCTCTCCGAAAATGTTATCACAGACACATCTAGAAGTGTGCTTTGTTAATCTCTTAGGCACTTTTCTATTTGCGCCAACTGATAATCTTGTTGGTCCATCAAGATTAACCATCACAAGCCAGGTGTGGTGGTGCAGGCATTTGATTGCAGCACACAGCACTCGGGAGGCAGAGGTAGGCAGATCTCTATGAGTTCAAAATCAGCCTCATTTACAGAGCAAGTTCCAGAGCAACCAGGGCTACACAGAGAGACCTTGTCTCGAAAAACAAAAATAAAGACCAAACAGAACAAACAAACATACAAACAGATTAGCTGCCACCACAGCCTGCTAGCTAGTGAAGATTAACAAAGCTCCCTTCTCATGCATGTACTAGTCTCCTGTCCACTTAGTGTGTTCCTTATAGACGGGAAACTGTCAGGGTCTCAGATTTAGGTTCCTATGTAGGAATTTGTATAGGTTGATTCTGCCTGCTTTAGTATTGATGAGATTCTTTTTTTTAGCTGCGATGGGGGTGGGCACGCTGATTTAGGGAAATATGGGTAAGGTGCTCCACTTGGTCTTGAGGCTAAGCAATGGTCTTTAACCTGACTTTATCCTAAATAAAGTTAATATTTTACTTTCTTTTTGGATCCTTGGATTTATTACTAATGCGGTGGAGAATCTGAAGACAAGACAGGCTATTCGGTGGATCACTTCTATGTAACACATTGCAAACTATTTTCTTCTCAACTCTCTGCCCCCAGGATTACAGTGGTAATTCTCTCTCATAAAAACAATAAATTACAACATTTTCCATTGAGATTTTTTCATTTATTGGTATGAGAAATTTGTGTCATGAGTGTTCTTTCCACCCTTACCTTTAATTTTAAATTTATGACTTTTATATAACATTAATTATTCTTTTAAATGAGAACTCAGCAGGAAGAGAAGGCATAAATACTACTAAATTAATTTCCCCGAAGGACAGATTGGCTAATATAATATATATTGAACTCCAGGATGTATTGCCACACAAACACATAGAAAAAAAATTACTTACATGCTACTATTTGGAAAGGAAAAGATAAATTAGCAATAAATCAGAAATCAATGGACTCATAGACTAAATTCTTTTAAGGACTTGGTTTGTTTATTGTATGTATCCTTAAGATTACCCAGACAAAGAACAGAAATAAATACATGTAAAAAGAAGTACTTATAAATCCTTTTTAGTTAAGTTTAGCTAGTTAAGCATTTGCCTGAGAAAGAAGACGAACAATGTTCTTGTGTGCAATTGAAACTTGCAAATGGTTGCAGCAAGGCTCACGATGATAGTAATTACACTAAAGTAATAATAGCTCAGAGGACCATATTACTAATTCCTTGTTTTTCCTTATTAAAAATGCAGAATTTGGGGCAAACGGATTACTTTGCTGCACTAAAAGTTTCAGAGCTGTTCCCATTCAAAGATGTTTGTGCCATTCCAGCTCACTTACGAGCTTTGGGCAGTGAGGAGCATAAAGATGACCTTCCTAAATTGCATGTTATCTCTGCCTACTGTTGGCAGAAGGTTTCTCCAATACGGTTTAAAATGAGTATCAAGCCCCCTGCTCATTCAGCGTGGTCAGTTCTTCCTTTCCTGGTGTGCCACATTTTGCAAAGCTCTCAGGATTCTTTCCAGCAACCCCTGCATAGTGCATGGGAATCCAGTTTCTTACTGCAGTGGGCTGCAGTATCAGGAATCCTTCAGCTGTGGGCACATGATGCAGCTCTGCTGTCTGCCTGGGACCTGTGAAGTCTGTTTGGGAAGCAATGCACCCTGCAGTCTGACATGCCAGAGTTCACCTTACTCAGCAAGGCCCCTTCCATTCTCAGCCCCCTAAAACTGAGTGAGTTCCGTATCAGTGTGTATTTGTTTTAGTCAACCAGCATGCAGATAAGAGGACATACCCGCTGCAGTCTGTACTTACGAATCATTAGGACTAAGCAACATCTTTCTGCATTTCTTTTAATGTCACACTTGATAGTGTATATCACCCACCTTAACAGCAGCTAATGGCTAAGCATTTTTGCAGTACTTCAAGTTAGTTTTATATGGCTAAAAAACAATACGAGCATTCCTATCAATTCTTCAATTGGCTTTCAGAATTTTACGAATTATTTAGTCTCCAAGCTAGTAACTAGAAATGGCACAAAAGTGGTAATGTATCATTTGTCATATATCACATAATTGCATTTTTTTTTGTTTTTATTCTTATGCGAGTAAATGAGACAAAACAAAGCACCCAGTCCACAAAAGCCAGCATGTCTTAGGGGCAGCAGGGCAGACTACTGCACTGGCCCGCCAAGGCCGCAATGTGCTGCAGGCTGCTGCTGCAGCTCTGGCTTCCTCGCCAGGTGGCAGAGGCCCTCTGCAGAAGAGCACACCGCAGCGTTCACACCTTGCCTTCTTGGCACTGGACCAGCGACCACTCCACTTTCAAGTGTCCAGTAGACAACTACGAATCAGTTTTTGCAGATTGTAAGGGAATGTAAGGGGGCTGGGAAACAGCAAAAGGGAGAGAGGGTGAGTGTGTGCCCAAGTGTGACAGATCACCGTTGGCTAACAGTGCCTAAAATTTTTCTCCCGCAGTATTTACAGGCCAATCAATAACCAACTTCCTTCATCGGTTAGATGCTCACACCTAAAATCACCTCTCCCTACAAAGAAGCTAAACGAAATCAGGGTTCTATGGCCAGCGTCAGGTATCAATAGGACCTAAGAGCTCACGTCTGGGCTGAAAATCAGCACCAAGTTTGGGGGTGGGACCGTGCAAGTCTGCAGACCCCGGCATGCCTCTCCCGAGCGCTGCTGGATGGGACCGGCTTAGAGATGGCCCTTCCAGGTGCTCGCGCCTCCGTGCGCAAGGACTACCCCCGCCCCCAAACCAAATAGCTCACCCTGCTGCATCCTCCGAGCCCCAGCCTCCGGGCGGGCGCAGGGAGGCGGGAGCCCGGGTCCCCCCCGGCTCCTTGGCGCCCCCTGACGCCGGCCTCCAGCAGTCGATCCACCGAGGCTGCAGAGGCGAAGCCCGGGGGTCCCGCGCACCGCCGCCTGGCGCGTGGCCTGGCGGGCCGTGCGCGCGCGCACCGAGCCGGCCTGCGGGAGGGCGCGCCGCTCGGTCCCGGCTGCAGCCATGTGCGCGCGGCCGCGCCGCCGCAGCCCGTGACGTCACCCAGCGAGCCCCCCGCCAGCCCGCCGCGCCCCGCCCCGCCCCACGTGCGACGGCTTCGGGATGCCGAGGCCTGAGGCGGCCATCCGACGATGCTCTCAGCCGGCTACGTCCCGGGCGGGGCTGAGCCCGAGGGCCGCGCACAGGCTGGGGCGCCTGCGGAGGGAGGGGCGCGGCTGTCGCCGGCGCGCCGTGTGCTGAGTCATGGCGAGAGCTGCCCGCTGCTCTCCATCAGTCGTTCCGGGGCCGGCGCGGGGTGTGCAGCCATTGGGCCGCGCGCGGGTCCGCGAGCGCCGGGCTTGACGCGCTGAGCCGCGCTCGCCCGTGGCCGCCGCGCCCGCCCTGCGCCCAGCGCCCCGCGCCCAGCGCGCTCTGCCGCCTCAGCCCCGCGCCGCACGGCCCCCCGCCTCGCCCGCACCATGATCGCCGCGGCTTTCCTCGTTTTGCTGAGACCCTACAGCATCCAATGTGCTCTCTTCCTCTTGTTGCTTCTGCTGGGCACCATTGCCACCATCATTTTCTTCTGCTGCTGGCACCGCAAGCTCCAGAAAGGGAGACATCCGATGAAATCGGTCTTTTCGGGTCGTTCCAGAAGCAGAGGTGAGACACGCCACCACTGGCTTCTTCTGGGCAGAAGCGAGGTTGAAGCCTCCTCTGCCGCTCCTGCCCCCTTCATTGCCCACTCTCCAAGCTATGTGCATTTATTTATTTAACGCGCCCTGGCCTTTTGCCCTCGAGTCCGTTCAAAGATCACCAGGGTTTGGATAGCTACGGAGATTCGGAGGTGATGGGAGGAAGTATCAGACTCGATCCTTAGGGTCAGTTTGCTAAATTTTTAGCCCAGAAGGTAATTGTAGTGGAATCCTAGGCTGAGGCACTCTTCCCTTTACACAACCTTTGCTGGAGCTTGGAGATGTAAAAAGGAAAAAAGAAAAAAAAAGTAAGGCGTGATAATTTGGGGGTTCCCCTTCCAACTTTGCTGGAACTTCTTGCAGAGAAATCATCCTAGAGACACCCATACTCCCTCCGCCCCGCCCCAGCATGCCCACCGAATTGGAGAGAGACTTCTAGAATGTGCTTTTCCCGAATCCAGGTAAATGATCAGCAACTCCGCAGGCTGTGAACAAGGAGTTAATGAAGTCTCATTTTCCCTCTTTTCTCCCCAGATGCTGTTCTGAGATCTCATCACTTTCGCTCTGAGGTAATTTATTTAGTGCACTGTCAAGGTCAGAGGTAGCATTCTTTCCTGAGTGCCAGTATTAATCACGTGTGTGTTAAGAAGCCGGTAGGACACCGGATGGGAAGCTTGCAGACCCTAAGCCCAAACTGGCATGCTTCTTTCTAAGCAATTCCACAGTGAAACCTAGGGAACGTTATAACAGATTTTGTGTGTGTGAGGAGTTCTGTGTGGAGTCTGCTTCACAAGAGGTGGGAGGGGCAGACCCTGAAAGTGCAGCAGGCCTTAGAGAACTTAGCCAGGGAATGGCTATCAGTTTAGCGTACAGTCTGGATCTATGGTGGAAGCACTTCCTGGGTGGTCACCGAGGTCGGTAGTTGTGAACTCAGATAAACCACAAAGGTAAAACTGTTAGGACCTTAGCACAACAGTTTCAACCACATACATTCCAGCTGGGACTCCAGGTGACATTTTTGCTAGCTTAGAAAGCTGTCCACGAGGGTATTTAGGACACGGAAGTGGTGTTGATGAAGACACAGCAGAGAGTGTGTCGTTGATATGTGCGTTAGACTATCCTGTAGAGTTGGTGGCTGGACATTGTAGGTGAGACTGCAGGAGGACCAGCTGCAGTTAGAGCAAGATACAAACTCAGCCTGACCCATCAGATTTCTCTACTTTCGGGATGCTCAGTTATAGCAAGACAGTGTTCTTTCTTGGGGGGAAGGTGCACAGACCGGGGTGTGGAGGCTGCTTTGTGATACAGCTTACTCACTTCCGCAAAGTATTGTGTGTATCCCCTCTCCTGCAAGCTCCTTATTTACCTGAAGCTACTCCACATCTTGTTTTGCTTGCTAATCGGAGGTTGCATCGCATCCTGGTGATTGTTTAAACTTACCTGCATTGTCATAGCGTTATTATGTTCCACACTGAGTGATTCTATTGAGTGTGCCCTGGAAGTGAGAACCCTGTGCTAGTTAAGATTTGTGAGAAAAGAATTTGTCAACAGTCAGCAGGCCTGTATCACGTTTTATACTAACTAGTGTGTGTGTGGTAGGGGGGATTGCTGGAAAAACAGTTTTGCCATTTGTAAAACAGAGCCAGCAGTGTCTGCAGGGCTATATGTGGAAAGTTATTTTCAAAATTATGTAAAAATTAATTAGTTCATAGGAGGTATTTAGTTTTGGGTAACCGTCATACGTTTTGCAGAATTGAATTGAAAATTGTCAGGTGTGGTGGCACACACCTTTAAACTTGACACTCAGAAGTAGAGGCAGGGGATCTCAGTGAGTTTGGTGGCCAGCCTGCTTTGCATAGTGAATTCTAGAACAGTCAGAGCTCCATTGCTACATTTGTGAGATCCTGTTTAAAAAAAAAAAGGAAGAGAAGAAGAGAAAGAAAAAAGAAAAAATAGGTAAAAAAATCAAGGTATGTTTGTAATGAAGTCTTTAGAAAATTAGGTCAGCTTTATGGACTACAGCATGAACTGGGTCTGTTGTGAAACAGTTCTTGAATAGCTCATCAATTAAGTAGAACAATTCATTTAGATGCAGCAAGCAGTAAATAGTGGGCAGTGTGCAAGCGCTATTAAGGTGTAGGGGACTGACTTGAAAAAGATCCACCAGTTCCGTGGACAGAAATGACAGTGGAGTAAGGCTGCTGCCAACGAGCCTCAGACGTTCTGAGCGCCCGGGGAACGTGTGGGATGTGGCTATGTCTTTGTGTTTTGTTCTGCTCAAATTTTGTCTTGAGCTTGTGTTCGTTGAGAAGTCTGGGAATAGCTGTTCATTGCCTTATCTTGCTCTGTAAGACTGCCAGTATAGTTGAAATCTTTGTGTATACTAGTTGCTTGCTTTATGTGGTAGCCTGTGAGTTCCTGAGGGCAGAGCCGAGGTCTCTTGTAGATGCCACTGCCTGGCTCAGTGCCTCACTCAGAATGGGTTCTTCATAAATGTTTATGGGATGAATGGGAACAGTCTCTCGGTGGGCAAATAGGACTCAGAGTTGGACAGGAGAGAAAAAAGCATTCTTGGAACATGGCTTAGAATTCGGCAGTGCTTATTTACCGTTCCCAGGCTTTTCAATTAGAATTTTATTTATTTATTTTTTAAAATAGGGTCTCACTGTGCATCTCTGGCTGCTCTGGGACTCACTGTGTAGATCAGGCTGGTCTTGAACTCACAGAGATATACCTTTCTGTGTTTCTTGAGTGATTGGCTTTTTCCAGTTCTTTAAAAAAAATTACCTTGGTGTTTGTAATAAAACTTAAGGTACTCATTGTAACAAAAAGATTCTGTTGGAATTTCTTTTTTTCCTCAATAAAATAAAATGTACTATCAGCTTAATTTATTGATGGGCTATGTATGGTAAACCAAGCAAGGAATGCCATTTTATATGTGGAAGTTCATAGACGGTGTTGCACAAGAATGTCATATTTCGTCACTGTCTTCTGTTTACCACAAACAGAGCATTTCCCCTTGAGCAAAACACAGGATATATTTTCTTCTCCCTCTTAGAACATTATTTCTGCCAAGATTTTTCTCCTTAAAGAAGAACTCCACATTTACTTGGATTGAAGCATGTTTAATAAGTTAGAGTGGACACAATGAATATTTATTCCTGCTGCTTTTTTTTATTAGCAGTTGCTACAAAATTTTATTATCAAAGCCAATACTTCGCCTTTCTGGCAAGTTCTAATCACATTGGGGTTAGTTTCTAGTGCTTGCTGTTCTCCATGCCAATCTTAGTAAGTGGATATAATTCACTTTCAGCGTTTCTGTCCTGGTCAAATGAGAAACACCATGTAGGATCTGCTGACTCACTTTGAAACCTGAACAGGCTGTGACAGAATACTGGAACTGATGAAGTTTGGGAAACATTTTGCTGTTTCATTTGGCAGAGGCATGGATGGTTTCTACCACTTACGCCTCCGGGGAGGAGTCGGCGTGGATGGGGAATTTTGAGGTGCTCTATCCGAGGTGATCAGAATAATACTTCCTAAGGAGAAAGCACAGCTTCGAGGGCTCCGCCAAAGAGATGAAGGCAGCCCCCAAATCTCTTTCTCCTCGTCTGTGTTTACTGGTACTTTTCTTCAATCCAAGCTCTTTGTGAGAAACTATAAGTCAGCAATACGAATGTTCAAGCGGTGCGCTAGGTCTGTAGTCACCACCAGCACTTCCTTTGCAGATGCAAGCTTTTTAACAAGGCTTTAAATTTTAATAACAGCATATGAGAAAGTGAAATTAACCCCTCTAGCAACGTCTATGCAATTTTACCTGACCTTAGAGGTTCAGTTAGGTAGAAATATGTGTATTGCTTGCTCTTAAAAACTTGCCCTGTGTGTGTGTGTGTGTGTGTGTGTGTGTGTGTGTGATTTCACTGTAAACCATTAGTGGGTTTCCCATCGATGTAGGACAGTCTAGAAACCATGTGTACCTCCTGTTTTCCAGCCATTTGGCACTTCTGAAGTGCACTTTCCCAAAGACTTCCAATGTTTTGCGTTGAGACTGTGAACAGTGGTCAGTGTCACCCTAGGTCCTATAGTGAAAGTCAGGCTGTGACAGTCCTGTTTTGGAGGACATTTCAGAGAGTGATATGGCTAGCTGAGGCACCGCCCTAGTATAAAGGAGAATCTTGGTGTATTGTCCTTCATAGAATGAAGACAGTTATAATGCTTTCGAGAGTCCCGGAGTGAACGGTGGTAAATGATCCCTATTCATCTGCTCAGGGAATAAGGGACGCCTTGTTTGTCTAAGGAAGGAGCCTGCCCTTTCCCGCCACCAGGATCTGAGTGAATATCTTTTCTTCCTGCTTCAGGCAA